TCCCTTCCAATCTCTAACATTCTGTGACTTGCTCCTAGAAGAAGCTATTCTAGAAGTCATCTGCCTGTCACCAGAGTGTAAAGGAGCAGCCTCTATTGAAAGTTGAGCTGCTAAAAAGATCTTGCTAGCACACTAGAGGAAGAAATGGGTGTGCTGTTGGATTGCTACGAAACAGAAGAACCTTGCATGTTCCCATCCTGTTGGCAACAGTCTTGCTACTGAGTAACAAGAATGGTTTGGGTCATAATTATATGTTCTTAAGTACGGGTATAAGTAGTCAGATCTCCAGTGATGACGCAGAGTAACAGGATGACTTGCTGCAATTCTGAATGGCTTTGAAGTGGTGTTTGCTCATGTGGTGAGTTATCTACCTTATGGAAAGCAGAACTCACCTAAAAGTGCAAGGATGGCTAGAGCGGTTACTGTAATTTCAGCCTGTACTAAGCTGGCATACACAGCCCTCCTCTTCTGTTCTTCTTTCTGGTGGTTCTTGCTTCCTCAGTCCTTTTTCCCCCTCTCCCGAGGAAAAAATGTGTGATGCAAAGTGAAGAGCTCTTGTTCTTATTTGGTTTTAGGAATAAGTTAAATGTGGTCAATGTCTTTCTCTAGACCCCTGTTGTCAGATAATGACCATGTTGCTTTCAAAGGCCTTTTGAGCATTCAAGAGCTCTGGCCCACTGCATTTTCCCCAAAATCCAAGTGTAGGGAGCTCATCTTTTGTTGTGGTGAAAGCTTTAACAAGTAAACAGTTGCTTGCTGTTACTAAAGGTATGCTCCATGAGGTATGCAGGAACTCTTGAAAGCAAGCTCTGGTCGGGAAGCCACAGGGATGCTTTAGTGCAATGCTGTACTGGGAAGCAAAGTTTGAGTGCAAAAGCATGAATCTTTATACCAGTCCAAGCAGACATACTCTACGATCACCTGTCATATGAGAGAGGTGCATTGGAAAGATGTTTTATGATAGGCTGTAACTTTTTTTCAAAGTGTAACAATTTATAAAGCATATTAAGCAGGCTCTTCTCTAAATTATGAGCTTTGGATTTCATCTACATCCATCCATTTGAACAAAATACTTAAATGTTTTCTTGTAGTGTTTTCAGGAAGTTTTTTTTTCTCTATCCTCCTTTTTTGTAACTTATCCTGTTAACTTCTAACAATTCATGTTCCCACCTTGCTGCAAGTATGTAGTCTTGGTTTTTTCACTTCCTTTTCCCAACAATTCTTTATCAATGCATGTATTCTTAAAATATGTTAAATCTTTTTTTCAAGTTACCCCGTTCAGCCTATAACGATATCTGAATTCTCTCTAGATTTTAATTTTTGAGTAATGACATGCACCTACAATAGTGTTTTATTTTTGTATCTGAGCTGCTAACCACAAATAGATTGTGAGCTCTGTATCTCTATGTATGGTTCAAAAACTTCTGGTTTATGTTTGTCTAAGACAATGTTTTTGACTTGGTGTCTGCTGTTTTCCGAGTCTCTTTCAGTGATTTAACAAACTTTCAGGTAAATTCTGCTTATATTGCAGGAGTAAAAATACTTCAACCTATGTTATTCTGAAATGCACTCATGAGCGTCAGCTATTTAAACAGTTGTATCATAAAGACAAGAAGCCTTAATTTCAGTCAAAATGAGAGAAGTTCTAATCAACTTGGAGAAAAAAAAAAGTATGTTACGGGTCATATTACTCCTCATAAACGGTAGAAAGAGTAGAAAAGCAGATAGGCATGAATAGTGTTTGCGGTGTCTGGAGGAAAAGATGTGGTAAATTTTGGAAAAAAATCCTGTTAGGTGCAGAGGAAGGCTGAGTTATGAGTAGAAAGGGGCCTTTAGTGCAGAGGGCTAGACAATGTGCTTCATTTTGTGTGGTGTGCAGTTTAAAAAAAAAAAAATAGTGGCTCACTCATATTTCTTCAGGCTTTTTATGTATCTGTGCTTTCTTCTGTTCTAACTAATATATGGGCAGATGCTGGTCAAGACTGCAAATGGATAAATAAATTCATAGTGATGTTCAATGTGGCCTAATACTTCAAGTTGAAAAAATGCTAGAAAATGCATGCTTGTTAGGGTTGTTGTTGCATATCAACGTATGTTTCAAATATGATAATGATATTTTCCCTGTATGGCTCGCATGTGAAATTTCTCGTTAAAATAAGGAGCAACATGCATGCATGGTGAATGGAAAGAAGAGTGCAAAAGCTAGCAAGGTCGGAGTCTTCCAAGTGTAGGAAACTGCTTTGTTTAAATTCTGACTTATTGTATCAGAAGTGAATCTCCCTTCTTTAAAAAAGGGCAGCAGAACACTGTTTGAATATATATACACCTGTGATGACTTGCATCTGTTTGTAGGAATTTCAGGAGACATTTCACAATTGCCTTTATGTTGCAGTCTCCCTTTTTCCTGTTATCCGGTTAATAGCCTGGTGTGGGAGGTGACCCTCAACAACAACTAAAAAAATATTTGGGAAAGCAAAAATTACTGAAATGTCACTATACAGTGTAGTGCAAACTCAGTACTAATAAGTCTTAGAAAATAATAAAAGGAGCAACATTGATTTTTGTGGCCTGTCAAACTCTTCAACAACCATTTATTAGTCAGGTCTCAAAATCAGTAACCTGTTTGATCATGGCGGAACAGATTACAAAGGATACAATTTCGCTCATTTTGGTGTCATCCCTTTCCTGGACTGCCATGATTCTTTTCCTTGTTCTCTAAAGAACTAGGAAACTTACCTTCATCTAATAAATGCTGAAGGACAAGAAGGAGGAGGTTACAGAATCAAAAATGTACTGAAGAAACCACTTAATCTGTTTATTAAAAGGATTCTCTACAGCGAGTTTTCTTTCCTCAAGGTAATAATTCTATTTTTTTTAAGGTTAAAGGGAAAACTGTAATAATGATGAGAGTTTTTGCAACTTTTCTTAATAATTAATACACAAATAAGCTTCTTGTTGCTTCTAGAGAAGCCATGCCATTTTTGGGCCAGGACTGGAGATCCCCTGGATGGAGATGGGTTAAAACAGAAGATGGTTGGAAACGATGTGAACCCTTCAGTCCTGCACTTGAGGATGGGAATAATCAGATGAATGGTATCAGTCACACAGTGTAAGTTAAAAAACATGAAAAAGTGATTCTGCATTAGTTAATAGTGGGTGGGGTGGCAAAGATTGACTTAATTTCCATTCAGACTGTAAGTGTTGGTGGTAGCTGGTATCATCTGCATATGCTGGGAGTATACAACTGCAACCATGTGTTTTGTTTAGTTAGGCAGACAGGAGACCCCTGTGGAGACTGTCTGTCTATGTCACTGCTTCGAGTTGCTTATTTACGCAGATTTAAAAAACCCGTAAAAACAACCAAACTAAAACTCTGTCAAGTACTTTTTAAACGTAAAAGTGATACTTATGAATACCAAGTGCAACAGGCATATTGAAGCGTTACCTGGAAGTGAAAGAAGACTTTCTGTTGACTGGGTGTTGGATTACAGTTGTTTATGGCAGTTGTACAATACCTTTCCTCCAAACACACAATTAATGGTACTTTTATGGTAATAATTCTCTAACACAATATATGACTGTTTGTATCCCTGTAGAACAGGTGAGAAAGATACTGGTTAAAGAAAGTAGTACTTGTCACAGATGCCCACAGACTGGAGTGATAAATAGCTTTGTCCAAACAAATTTCTACTAGGTTTCTCCACCAAGAAGTAATTCTCAAGGGTAGCATTCTGTGTCATAAATTCCAGGATAATGTGTTCATAATGAGAGGGAACATTCAATGTTTTGTTGTTAGTCCAGTAAATGATACAGTGACTGATGTGATTTAGAGGGCATTTACTAGCAAGCTAGGACTTGCTGTACTCATACACCTGTGTTTTCTAAACTTGTCAAATAAACCTCAAGAGAGTTACCAAGCAGTGAAGAATTATTATTAAGCTTATCTTGACCTATTGTTTTCTTCATTGCTTTTTTCTTTTTGCGTTCATCTGTCACTGGTATAATTTGGGCTTCTTTTTCCACACAGTCTGGCCACTGTGGATAAAAAAGACTATGATTGTCTGATTCAGTAAGCCTCCAACATAAATTTTGTCTTAAATAACTTTGAAAAAAAATTTTCTTCCCTCTTTCATATATCTTTAATAATATAGTTGACAATGAAAGGAAATCTAATTTAATTTTGATAGCTATTTTTGTGGTTACTAAATAATTCTATTTTGTAGGTTGCCATAATTAATATTGTTTTGCACGTATGACATAAATTATCATTGTTTTTGTGAATATCATTAAAACTTTGCTGGTCTGATCCTAATTATATATTGAGATATATTTATCTTTTCTCCACAGAGCAAGGTGAGGTATCTTTATTGCTTCTTCAAGCAAAAATGCTGGATTTTTTTTCCTTAATCTTGAGAGAACTTAAGACAACTCCAGAGGAGTTCAATACAGCTAGAAACAGATTAAAATCAGTTGGTTTTGGAATGATGTAAGAGTATTAATGTTCAGGACTAAAATAGGTATATTAATTTGAAGGCACTGGCAATTAAATGCTCTGGGGGGGAAAAAAGTTTTCATTAAATCTGAGGTCTTTCATTATTTGAGTTTCTTAGGGTAGCTTGCCAATTTGTCAGAATACCAAACTCGGGGACCTACCTAGTTTGCAGCAGATGCCCTCATCTGTAGCAATTCCCCAGTTCCTTCATCTTGCATGTCTCCTACTTAGTGAAGCCAAACCAGACCATATTATGTAGCCCTATTTTTCTTTAATTCTGCTTCTGTCTATTCAGTTAAAACTGTGTATAGTCCAAACTGAGACTACAGAATTCAAGTTCATAGAATCATAGAATAGTTAGGGTTGGAAAGGACACCTCCCACTAGCCCAGGTTGCTCAAAGCCTCATCCAGCCTGGCCTTGAACACCTCCAGGGATGGGGCATCCACAACTTCCCTGGGCAACCTGTTCCAGTGCCTCACCACCCTCACAGTGAAAAATTTCTTCCTAATGTCTAGTCTAAATCTGCCCTCCTTCAGCTTATACCTGTTACCCCTTGTCCTCTCACTACACTCCCTGATAAAGAGTGCCTCCCCATCGCTCTTGTAGGGCCCCTTCAGGTACTGGAAGGCTGCTATTAGATTTCCCCGGAGCCTTCTCTTCTCCAGGCTGAATACCCCAATTCTCTCAGCCTGTCTTCATAGGGAAGGTGCTCCAGTCCTCTGACCATTTTTGTGGCTCTTCTCTGGAGAGTGGAGTTGGTACTTCTTGGCAAAGTAGCACTACTTGGGAGTAATTTCACTAAAATTTGAACTTCATATCTATGACTACAACTTGAACTTTGAATCTATGAGTTAAGCTTTGCTGCTAAACAGCAATTAATGTCTATTTGCACAATATTACAGAACAATTTAGGGTGGAAAGTATCTCTGGGGGTCATCTGGTCCAAACACATACTCAAAGCAGGGCCAGGTGAGGTCAGGTTGGATAGGGCCTTGCCCAGTTGAGCTTTGTGCATTTCCAAAAATGGAGATTCCTCTTGGACTCCTGTTCCAAGTTCCAGTGCTCTCACTGTGATTTTTGTTTTCATTCCCCTCCCCAATCTAATAAGAATTTCTCTTATCACAGACTGTGTCACTTACCACTTGACTTACTACTTCCCACTTCCTCTAAACTTACAGTCTAGCTCTGTCTTCTTTCTACCTTCATGTTAGATATTGACAGTAACCCAATTTCCTTCCACCACCACGTCTTAACACTGAACAAGGTCAGTTCTCTTACCCTCCTGCATCGTGTGCTCCAGTACCAAATCACCTCACTAACTCCCCACTGGAGTTCCAGTATGCCAGTGTTTTATTGTACTGGGGAGCCCCAAACTGGACACAGTACTCCAGATGCAGTTTCTCATGCTAAATAAAGGGGAATGATGCTTTTGTTAATTCAGACCAGGATGCAATTGTTTTTTTACAACACAGGGGCGCACTGCTGACCTTGCTCCCTTTCTGCAAAGCTGCATCCTATCCAGTCTGTACCCAGCATATACCCAGGCATGGGGTGGGTCTGTCCCTCATGCAGGGCTTTGTATTGAAGTACACTGATATATTGTGTCTCGCTGGCTGGTTCTCTGGACCATCTTAAGCTATTTGGAAACAATCTTCTGTGCATATTGAATAGACAGCTCAGCTTAGGATATCTGTTAACATGATATAGCACAGTGTAAGGATGAGGCTTGATAAAAATCCTTCTTTCCCTGTGGGAGAAGTATATAGTAAACAATATATAAGTACTTATTTGTCTCTTTTTAAGCTGCACTATGAATAGGGATGATGGTGTATGCCAATCTGGCTGTCCTAACAAGGTTTTATTTATTTTCACCCATTAAATGAAATAATACTTTTCACCAAAATATTAGGTAGAAACCTATGCTAAAGGTAGTACTTGAGTATTGTATTCCAGGGAGCAGTTACAGCAGTTTTCCTTTAAAAATAAATAAATTCAAGATCTGTAGCTGACTGAAACCCTGTTTACTATTACTTGTATTCTCTTCTGTGAGAGAAGTATGGATAGAGTTACCTTCCAAACTGTGTCTTTTTTCAGTTACAAATACTTGTCCTTCAAAAATTCAGGATCTAATCATGAACAGATTCAGGAATAAACCTGAAAGATATGTAAATAACTTATGTAAATTGGAATAATATATTTGAATTAAAATAGAACTTTTTATCCTATCCAAGTAGTCATCCAGTGCCTTGGTGAATCCAGTGGATGAATTAGTGAAAAATAGTGGACCTGCTGATAACCATGCTTGAACAAACATAATAACTTGTGCAGGAACAATTTAAATTATTTTGAATAATGTTTGAATAGTTGCACTTTAAATTAGTTCCATTTGTGTAAACTGAGAAAAAAATGAGACCCTCCGTTCTGTAGCTCTTACTTATTTGGATAATTAATATTATTATACAAGTGAAGAGTGCCTTGTATTCAAGGAATAAGGTAGCTGGAAGTGTGGTTGAGGCAGTGCTTATTCAAGCTCTGTGGGCTGGATGCTGGCCACGACTACCTGCAATTTCTACATGCAAATTCCAGCACAGATATGTATTTCCAGTGCCATGGTACTGTGTCCTCGAAGCTTGGTGGGGGAGAGAGAACAGCACTGCCTTACAGAACTGTGTGTAAATACCTCTCAATAGCCTGCAATTTAGGAGTAAAGCTGTCTTGTGCTTTCCTTTGAGCTAAAAGAAAGAGAGAATCAGACTAACCTGATGACATTTTCATGATGGTGATATTAATTTTTTTGTGTGTTACCACGTGGGCTGGCAGGGTAGTCATTTGAGTCTGTGGTGGCTCTGGTCTAAATCTATAAGTGAAATACCGTGTTCACAAAAGTGTTTTTGGCACTGGATAGAAGTCCTTGGACTAGAATCTAGTCTTAGATAATTTTGGCATTTGACAAATATATTGTAATGTTATTTGGTGCAGGCACTTACTTACCTCAGGATTTTCCATGCAGGGTCAAGCTGTAAATGGCTTTGAGTCTCTTCTAAAACACTTTGTGGATCTCTGTAGGTAACTGCATGACTTGAGGGCATTCCTTCCTCGATGAGAAAAGAAGCAAGGGGATGAGGAAGAACAGTTGGAGTTTGGATAGCCCTGTGAAGTTTTCCAGCATTTTAAGTGTCATACCCAAGAGGTTATTTAAATACTGTTACGAAATTACTTTTTTGAAAAAGCTGAAATTCTTGCACACTTCGTGTACGGTATTGTAGTTCTAAGGACACCGGGAACTTTGCCTTTAGAAACTTGAGAATATTTTTTATGAAGAAGTGCATCATCAATAGGAGAAAGTCAGAATAGCTGTAAATTGGCAGTATTATGTATGTATTTAAATCCTTCCAGGTGCACTCAGATGTCATGTGCAGTATTATGGTAAAAACATTAAATTAAGGCTTCTTTTACACCACATGGCACATGCAGCACTTGATTTGGTTTCCTGTATTTTAGCTTGGTGTTTGGGGGGGCAGGGGCAAGGGTTTCTTTTGGAAACGGTTGAGCAGCTTTGTAACTCATCAAGCAGCTTTCTGGAAGGAAGGCTAACAGTGGCTGGGGAAGTGCCTGTATTTTTGTCCCATTCTTCTGATGTCTGTGGGACCCTTGCTTTCATTCTCAGTAAGAGACTTAAAGTTTGTCAAGAATAATGATGGTTACAAAAAAGAAAGACTCACTCTGTGAAGTGGGACAGAACATGAGGGAAGAAAAGCCTCAAACCTTTGGAGATAACATTCAAATTCGGTCAAATCTGTCCTTTCTCTGAAATGACATGACAAATTCCAGGAATGTCATAGATAAATTTGAATGTCAGACAAAGGTGTATGAATAGCCCTCTTCATCTTCACAGTTCCTTGCATTAATTGACTGTCCTTAAGCTACCTTGCATGTTTATCTGATGCTTGAGGAAGTGTACATTATTGAGGGACAGAGGTGGGCTTTAAATCACTTCAAGTATGTTACTGGTCTAAATTGCTTTCTAGGGACACTTCCTCTCCAGGAACAAAGGAGGGAATCCTGCCAGATTAACCTTCCTCCTCTAAAACACTTAAGGAATGCCCGCTCCCTTCCTCCCCATTGCACTGGGTCAATGGGAATGGGTGTGTTTCTGTTCTGCCTGAATTATATTGCAGAGTATCAGGCCATATCTCCCTAGTCTTGTATCTGTTGTTAGGATGATAAAGCTAGGTTTAGGAGCTTTGGGCTCTGTTTCTGATTCTGTAGCAACTTTTCTGATTGTGCAGTAACTTCTCGTGTGTTGTGCTGATGCAGTCAATATGCTAAAACATACTTAATGATTTTAGTGAGCTGGAAAAAAACCTGATGGATTGGAATGTTACATAATCAAAGTAACTTGCCAGTGTTGATGTTCTGCTGTTGTCAGTTGCCAGTTCCTTTTCTCCAAACTGTTTTGCTGTTTGACCAGATCTAATATCTGTCAGTGTCGCATAGAACATTGAAGTTGTTGGGTCTTTATCCTCTGGTGTAAAAAATGGTAAGACATGAACTAAGGCCCTCACCTTGGACTGAGTTCTATCTGAATGCAGAGGTACATTAGCTTTTTTCAGGATTTAAACCTAAGATGAAAACAACCTTCTGAGTCTTCTGAACTTGTGTATCTTAAAGCTGAGCTAGCATTTACTGATTAGAGCAATTAAAAAACCAAAGCTTTTCTACAGTGTTGCTTAGTCATCCTCCTTAACAGATAGTTCAAGCCTGAAAACTTTAACTGTATAAACTAGTAGCAGTAAACTAGTAAAACTTGATTTTTGCAACTTCATGCCCAAGTACAGGTTATTTTTGAATAAATGGGTGTCCTTCAGTTTTACAATGTCCAGCTGTTGCAGTTTAAAGTTCAGACTGACATTGACAGATTAATCTGGCAAATTTGGATTTAAAAATCATAGTAAATGAGAAGGGTTTTGTATACCACTTTCTTGTCAAAGAATAATAATGAGGAAATATAATAGTCCTACAGTTAAGCTTCACTACCACATATCCTTAGTTATTGTGCTTATCTGTGCAAGGCTGTGGCCTTCATAGGAAGTATCTTCCTTACCTGTGCTAGAAACATGAACATCCGTTCTTATCTGTATTGCTGTTCCTTATAATCATCTGCAAAAATGGAAAGCAAAACTTTATGACACTCTGTAGACTTTATGTAGCATAGGCAGTTTTTGAATGTATATAAATTTTAGAAAGGTTAGTTTATCCAACAAAACCTTGTTTACAGTTTCTTTATATGTATTTTTATATATCCATGTAGTCACACTATATGTATAAAGTTATTCAGTGTAGTCTTCAGTGTTAGATTACACTGGCATAGGTATAGTTGATTCTCTCTGGGAGAGAGGACAGTAGACCACATGGTTCTTGATGCCATATGAATCACTGGTAAAGCATTATTGTGACACCTAAATTATGTACAGTGTTGTGATTCAGGTATTTATTAAAAGAAAGGCTTTCTTTGCCCAAAAGTTGACAGTAGTAAGAGAGATGTCTTTCTTTCCTGGCTTTCTGCCTGTGCAAAGATGTGCAGTAATTCTGCACTGACCTTTACTTGTATGCAGTTTTTCAAGGCTTGGTCCATTTCAGATAATGAATTTTTGTATAGTAGAGCTTTGCAGACAGCCAGCTGTCCAGTTACTACTGTCTCCCCAGTAGTCCTTCCTAAATGTCAATAATGACTTACAAGATACATACTAGGAAGATACTTTTGTGTATTTAATCACTTTGACACAAAATCCAACCCCACTGGGAAGAAAAGAGCAAGACAGCTGCTGTCTTAAGATATGTGTTGCTATAGACCATCAGGTAGAGGAACATCATTAAAAATATGATTATTTTTTTCCAGCTGGCAGACTTTAATGCAGAGAATTATAAGCTGTACGCATCTTAAATATTTAATCACTGCTGTTCTAATTAGATGTGTTTATTTCAGCATTTTATCTGGGGATGATGATGATGAAGAAATATACGGTACTGAAGATTGTGAGTTTGCAGCCAAGAAGAGGAAAAAAGATCATTTGGGGAATAACACAGATTCTCAGTGTAAGTTTGTTCTGTTTTGTTTTCATTTATTTTAGAAAACTCTTGTAAGTTCAGCAAAATTTTATAGTAGCCATTTTATTCATATGTAGAGTAGCCTTCTGAGTTATGGTTGCTTTTCTACTGGCAACAAATTCTAGTGTCAGAAGTGATACATCTTGACTGAACTGTGGCATTGATCATCTGTTGTGTGATTTTCAAAGATCCAAACGTACTTAATTTAAGAATAATCCCTGAATAATAAACACCTTCTTATACCAACCACTGTTTTGTTTTGTGGACTAGTTTTAGATTAAATTCTTCTGGGTGCGTATGGAAGCTTCTGCTTACCAAAGCAGCTGTTTTATTTTTGCTTAATTCAAATTCTGATTAGTGTTACAGCTCTAGAATCAGTTCATAAATGAAAATATTTTGTCATAATACCTATAACTCTTGGTAAAGACTTTATCAGCATTTAATTTCTTGAAATTATCCATTTTTCTTCAAATTAAAATATCAAAGCCATTTCTGTCAGTTCTCATTTTTAAAGATCACCTGTACTTTAGAATGCAAATACGTGTATGACAGCAAGCAAACTTACTAAAGTAGAGAATTTGGTAGAGCAGGTAAAAAACAGGAAGTTGATAAGCAACTTTTTGGCATTTCTAGTGCTTTGATCTTGAAATGACCTCCATTATTTGCATACTCCCAAAATTGGAACAGAGATGGTTTTGCAGAAAGCTGCAAGCTTACCCAGGCTTGTCTGGGTGTAAAGTATTTAAAAAGATTCAAGTGGCTCTGTGTAAGAGCGTGCTTTAATTTGACAGCATACCAGCCTCCTGAAAGCCGAAGGTCTGCCTAGTTGCCTATATTAGTCTTGTACAGTTGACTTCCCTGCAGCATTCTGCAACTAGTTGAACCAAGTGGGTGCAGAGCAGGCACCTTTACAGAAGAAAATAGATTAGAGGGGTGCGGTTTTCAGGCACAAAAAGGTTGCTCATTTCTGTACTTTCTTGTGTTAAGTGCTAAGAAGCCTGTTGGATTAAAAAAAGATCAGGGATTTTGTAGGAGAAATTGACTGTTGTTGGTACACAGCTGACAAAAGTTATGCTACATCTGCCAATTGTGTCCCACTGCTTGTGGGACAGGTATTTTAATAAATACCTGAATCACAATAACTTAACAAAATTATTTGACTTTTCCTTCAAAATTTTTTTGAAGTACATAACTTCTGAAAATTTGTAGTCATTCTTTTCAGCCTTTATAAACTTCCTTCATTAAAATTGTTTTATCATCTCTCCTGTCTTATGAAGCATTTTATTGAGGGTGGTTTGTTTTCTTCTCTTTCTTTCTAGAAGACATTATGTAAAGTGGAAGCCTAAAAATGCTTATATCTTGATTTTTGTTTTAGGTTTTTATCGTGAAAAGTGGATTTATGTTCATAAAGAAAGTACCAGGGAAGTAAGTCCTGCATGCTGTGGGTCAATTCCTATAATCTTTGTGCTTCTTAACTGACAAATAGTATGGTGAAAAAAAAAATGCATTTGTGCTGTTGTCATCTTAGGGGTTATATTCTGCTCTCTCTTCGTTGGCAACATAGTATACCCTCACGTGGGGAGGCAAAGGCAGCTAGCCAAGTGACTTTTACATGTGTCATTGTGGCGGAGATATGGGAACTTGCAAGGATGGCCGTAATAGTTCTCTGCTACATCTCCAAGCCCATCTGTCTCTGTGTTGTGTATCTTTGAACTTAAATTGAAAGTAGGAGATGCTCTTTGAGTACTTTTGTTGTGATAGTACATTGTGAAAGGTAGAGCTGAAGCTTCACAGAAATGTGCTTCCAGCTGTTCAAGGGAAGTTTTTTTTCAGAGAACAGCCACAATTATTTAAATTTCAACAAAAGTTTTGTTGTCTGCATGTGTTAATACACTGCTATTAGCCAACCAAGTTGTGCATATTGTGAATCATAGAAGTGTGCAGCGTGCTTGCATCTCAGGGGTATTAACTGGATGAGCAAGCAGTATGATCCTGAATTTAGTCATTAACCGATAAGCAGTAATTACCCCCACTCTGCAGTGAGTAGATAACTGTCTCTTGTCCCACTGTGGTACATCCAGAGTAAGCTTTCATTGGGTAGCAAAAAGGAACACTGAGCTGTACTGTCATCTTTTCACCATCACATAATTCACTGAGGAAATCTGTCTGGGAATTAACTTCAAATTATTATCCCTGCCCTTCCCTGGGCTGATAAGCCATACTAGCACACTGGTCTACAAGTATCTCTTTCACTAGTTGTAGGGTTTTTCTAGCCTCATTATATTTGCTCCAAGGCTCCTTGTGTTGCTTTGTGGCTCTGAATTTACTCAGCTTACGTGATCCCATGTCATTTCAGGCTGCCATTACCACCTTAAGTAGTTCCAAAACAGCCTCTGAAACTTCCATTTTCACCTTAAGAGACTGGTGCTGAAACACCAAAAGAAAATGCAACTTCTCTTGCTCTTGATACCTAAGAAAAACTGTGCCTAAACTTCTGGCACACAGAAAATAAATTCTAGATGTTGAGACCATTTGTTCCTCTAATCCCAGTAGCAAGTAGGTGTGTGCTTACCCTCAAATGCAAACATAAACTCGGTCAGTTAACGCTTATGGTTGTAAGCTCAGACTGCTGTACAAACAAGGTCTACCTTGTGCTGAGGCAAATGGGGAGCCGTGATAGCCACAAGAGATTACCAGCATTGTGGCCATGCGGTAGTGGAGTATATTCCCAGGACACTCAAGTACCGGTGATTACAGATTGCATGATTAGTATGAGTTTAAAGGCCTTGCTGTCGAGTAATATTGCCTACATACCTGCTAGTTCCAAATTGCATCTCTGTTTTCATTAGTTCTACAAGAAATTAAATAAATCTTCAGTCCAGATACATTATATTGCTAGGGAGCATGGAATACCTAAGCATCAGTTGCATGGCAGAGTGCTTTTCTGAATATTTTCCTCAATTTTATCTTTGTTTCTCTCCATTTAAAATGTGTTTATTCTTATTCTCAGAGACATGGCTATTGCACTTTGGGAGAAGCTTTTAACCGCTTAGATTTTTCAAGTGCAATTCAGGACATCAGAAGGTTCAATTACGTGGTCAAAGTAAGTTCTTTATTTTATATGCATATTTTAAAAATGCATTTGCTCTGATATGCCTATGTGTACAAAAGAAATGGTTTTGCATTGAAAAGCTGATGATTTGTTACTGTATAAATATCCTGTTCATATGTAATTTATACTGCATGAAGCAACTTTAAGCTGAGTAATTTTTCTTTGGTGAAAACTTGTTACATTATTCTATGAAAGCCTATAGCTTGAGGAGGATGGTGATGACGGGTATGCTATGTATTTACAGGGAGATGCTGATGGTCGTTTCAGTTGTTGTTCATGAGCCTGGATAGTGAACTCTAAAGGCAAAATAATTCTTATACAACCAAAAATAGCAAAGCATAGAACATCTTGAATATACCTTACTACATCTTAAATATGCTTAAAATAGCAATTTCCAGAAGAATATTTGATATGTAAACATTCTGCAGTTTGTTTCTTCTGCAGCTTAGTGGTCCCATGATTCATTGCACTTTTTAAAATTATTTTTATCTAGGACAAGATACATGCACATTTACCATAGTTAATATCCCCTAAAACATGGGACTCCAGCTTTTTCAGTCTTTTTTTTTTTTTTTTTTTGTCTTCCAGAAATGAGTTTTGTTGTAAGTCGTCTCTTACAAATAACGTAGTGATGTGAAGTTTAACAATTATGATATACTAATCTCATGATTCCTTGGAAAGTCCATTTCTTACTATGTTAGCTTCTCTGGGTCAGGTCTCGTCTTGAGAATTAAGTGCATGGAACCTGTAAGTTCTGGACAAGAGGGCTATCTGCCTGTTTTCCAAAACTGTGTAACTTGTGCCTTAGGGATGTAATATCATGCCTTAATTTTCTTGATGCCTAACTAGCTGCCCAGTTGGAAATATCTGTTCTGGGAGATACTGATCTTTCTCTAGCCCCAAGTTTTTTTTGTCATCTAAATTGAGGCAGTAAAGTGCTTGTCCCAACTCCTAGAGAAGCTCAAAATGTGAGACACATAAGGACTGGAGTTAAGTTCAGTGGTGAGGCTGTCAACGAATAATGTTGTAGTTGGAATGTATCCAGAGCTTGAAAAGACACAAATCAAAATTAAATAAACATACCAGGAGAACACCCTTACCACTAGGCCATGGAGTATTTGGAGAGAAAACACATTCTACCCATCCTTGTGAAGCTGAGACTCTGTGTTCCACTTCCAGAAAAACAAGAGATGTGGAACCAAAGAAAACAAAGCAAAAAGGCTTTGCTTCCAGGCTAGTGGTTAGGGTACTTGCCTCTTTTATTGCCTTCACAGATTTTTCTGGTATGTGTATGCATTGGGGTTTAGAACATTGCTTTTTAATGCTGTTTTGGGAGCAGAAACAAGAAGCTTGATCTTTCCCAAGACTTTCCAGCCTCGAACAGTAGGAAGAACAAAAAACACCTAAAAAAAGGTGAATTGTGTTGTAATTGGGGACAACCTTGAATGCCTCACTCGAATGGTAAACAGGTGGAATGAATCTAGAACTAGAATTTTACATGTTTTTTAGATGCTGCTGTGCCTAAGCTGGGTTACTCTTTAGTCCGATTGACATAACTGTTGGTTTTTTTTTTTTTTTTTTTTAAATTAATCAAGAGAAATGTACATTCTTGCTTGGACTGGCAAACTGCCAGAGACCTCTAGGTGTGCTCTAAATGATTAATCCAACTAAAAGGCTTTGAAAGTGCCAAGAAAGAGGTTCTGATATCTGGTCTCAAAAACTGTATAAATAGATTGCTTGTATTTAAATACATCAGGAGATTACTTCCTCCTTTCATAGCACATAATGTTTTGTCAGGGATCACGCAGAGAAGCCAGAAGGAATATTATTAAATCAGGGAGAGAACAGGTGTATTCTCTCTTCCTCCAAAGGAAAATGAATGTTGTGTGTAGTGTCAAATCAGTGTTTTAGAAATGAAGATACAAAATAATTTTTGGCAGGCTTAGTCTTTGTTCACCCTCTGTGCCAATAGTTGATGCTGCCCTACAAAGCATGGCTCTGCAGGTTAGTGTTTAGAGCACTCTGGAGGGGATGCTGGTTTTTGTTCCCTGCTTTCCCTTTCTGATGTGTTGGGAACACTTGTTCTGAACTCAGCATTATGAATCGCAATTATAAAGCTCAGTGCCACACTTATAAACATTGCAATACTATCATAACATTGAAAAGTCCCTCTTATGTTTCATACTAAGAGACCATTTTTTTGTTGAAGAGGCAATGGGCTTTATCAGCTACAAAACTGAATCTAAAATGTAAAAGCAAAGGTGTAAGAGTGGAGCAAGGGCTGCTGCTTGGTAGCTAGAGCTTGGCATTCATGTGCAGCAAGAACTTTAGCTCTTCTGGTTACTTTCCCTAGACCCTTCCCACTGTTCTCACCACTCTTCTGTTTACAGTCGTTCTGGAGCGAAATGTGTGGACAGTTAGATCTGTTAAGGGAAAGTTACTAATATGTATGCTGCTTATTATTAGATTATTGTGGTTTGGTTTCTTCTAACAGGGACATGAATGTGGGAGTAATACAGAATTTTTTTTTTTCCTGGGTTTAGGTAAAATACAGCATTTCCCCTCCATGAGCAGAAAGTAGTGCACTGAGTCCATCACACCTCGATTTGACCAGTATGATACTTTCACTCAAACTGGAAGTCTGGTAGTTGGTATTGGCTCAGAGTGATGTTTCTGGCCACCAAATCTGTCAGGGCTTTCAGCCATATCAAAGACCACGTTCCTATTTGTGAGCCTCCAAAAAACAGGAGCCTGAAGCTTTCAGTGTTTGTCTGGCTTCATTGTCTGAAATCTGTAGTTATGTTTTCACAAAATACGGTTTCAGTGCTCTAGGCTGTTGTAGGTGAATTATGTACTGAAAGTGTGTATCTGAAGCCATTCTTTACTTCTGTTATTCTTCTAAGTTTTAAATCTTTGTCCTAGCTTTTGCAGTTAATTGCAAAATCCCAGTTAACTTCACTGAGTGGAGCAGCTCAGAAGAACTACTTTAACATTTTGGACAAAATTGTGCGGAAGGGTAAGACCTCAGGTTTTGTAATCTGCTTATTCGTATTTAATAGCTGTGACTAAGCTATCAGGGGTTTTTTTTGTTAGCTTTATTACTATTTTTACATTGTAAGACAAAGCAATAGCAGAGTTAATTAGTGAAAGGTTTCATACTTCCCATCCCATAGTTGCAGCAAGTTGTTTTCTCTTGATTATTGAATCATGTCTATTGAAACAGATTGATGAAGTTAAATGACAATTAGATTATATTTGGAAACTATTGGTTGCTATGAAATTATACTCTTCATGAAATGGGAAAGGTTTTAGATCAGTAACATGTTTGTTTTTCAATTTGCATGACCTACTGAGATTTAAAGTATATAACTGCTTTTCTTTATTGTTTTATTTTTAAAAAGGCTGTTACATAATGAAAAAAATATTTTTTTCTGGTAGTCATACTAAATGGAGATGTAATACTATCAGCTTTGAACGGAAGAAATCAGATTTATAACTTGTTGTTCAGCATTAAGTTTATTAAATCCATACCATGAAATGTTACATCAGATTTTCCAGTGAAATTGTTAATTATTGATCTTCTGCTTATGGAACAGCATTAATGAATGTCATTGTGGGAATTATGGTAGCTATTTGCACACCAATGGTTGACTTGTAACTAGTTCATCTAAAAAAGTGTTGATTAGCTTGAGCTACCTGTATTATCTTGGTTAACTCACTTAACCAAAATTGTATTTTGTTGTTTTGTTTTCCAGTCATGGAAGACCAATATAACCCACGATTAATCAAAGATCTTCTACAGGATCTGAGTTCTACACTTTGTATACTGATAAGGGGAGTAGGAAAATCTGTGTTGGTAGGGAACATCAATATTTGGATTTGCCGATTAGAAACTATCCTTCTGTGGCAACAACAACTAAATAACCTCCAGATGAACAAGGTATGTTACCAAATCATGTTAAAAAAGTAATTAGGGGAGGGCAAAAATGCTGAACATTGGTTTATGATTTGTAAGTGAACAAAGTTCCTAATACATCTTAAACAGTGTTACTTGTTTTCTTTGTTTTTAGAGAAATAATATGAAAATAATGAAATTGAATCAACTTCTTAATTTTCTCATGTTTTAATAGCTTTTTTTTCTAATGAGGAGTGCTACAGTGCCTGTACTGCTGCTTTCTGGTAGAGATGTATTGATATAATTGTTTTTCTCACCCAAATAAATTTCAAAATGTTTGTCTCTAGATTGTCAGATAGAGGTGGAAAAAATAGAACATTTACTTTGGAATTAAAAATTGGTATTACTGAAGAAAGACAAATCTAAAAGGAAATGTAGAGGTGGATCAAGAAAACAGAAATAAAACATTCAAGCAGGAATTTTACAGCTTTCTTCATTAGCACAGTTACTTTTTGTAAAAAAAATGAAGATAATTACTTCAGCATCTGGACTCTGATCATGTGACTTTGTTCAAAGCATGTGGTATGCACCATTCCAGGTTTTATAGTGGAAACTTCTGATGATAAGCAGGCAATTCTTTTTAACCTGTCTGGGTTACTCTTAGAAGAAGAAATGCTGCAAGATGTTGCTCACGGTAGTCATACAACCGTTTCATCTGTTTCCTTTCAGCTATGAAATTTTGAAATTGTCCTTGCTGTGTGTGCCGGGTGTCTGAATAGAACAGCTAGTTTTGGAATAGAAAGGAGAAATGTGGAACCCAATCTCAGCAGTTTTCATATACCAAGCAACCACAGCGTAGACAGTTTGAGACACTCAGTTGCTCCATTTGTTTCTTTCCAGTGTGCCACTTCAACCAACGTTAAACAGCTTGGATGGAAATAACTGATGAGAAGTCTTGCCTCTGTAATGCTCACATTCCTGAACAGAAGGATAGTCCCAGGAATGTTTGTAACAGATGACACTATGGAAAGTCTAGTCTATAAGTGAGATGAATGGTTGTGAAATAAACTGACATAAGCGAGAGGCTGCTGCAGTACAGCTGCTGTGCTGGCAGTGCCTGGTGAGGAGGCAGCTCTGCTAGGTGGGGCCGGCAGCTGCCCACACTCCCTCCCTCACCTGCTGGGACACTGCCTCCAGCCCTGTCAGCCTTTGTGCCACCTGGCAGCATAGGCTCCAGATTCAGTCATGTGTGAGTTGTGCTATAGGGTACCCTGTTAAAGTTCAGCAGAGGTATATACTCTCAATGAAAACTTTCTCAGTGCTCTGATCTGTCACCCCCTGCAGAATTCCTCGTTTACATACAAGGGGAACTGTCTCTAGACTTCAGAAATGAACCTCCTCTCTTCTGTTTCTTCATAATGTTTTAATTCTGTATTTTTGCTCATCAGTCCTATATTCTGTACTCTAGTTGTCTTAAGGCAAATCAACATGTGCTCTGTTTGTTGATAAAAATTGAAGAACTGTAGTTATCCTACAATTATAAATAATTGGTTCATACCTTTGTTATAGCTAGGGTTTTGGCACACTTCACAAAGTTGGAATTGAATATATCGTAGTTTTCAAGACTGTATGCTCTTGAATTCTTTTCTGAGAATGGAAGTGGTCTAAAATTATTTGAAATTGAAATAGAGAATTTAGGATGTTTGTTTTAAAAGTAGGAAAGCTGTAAGTTATAAAGATACAGTCTGTACCTGTAGTTTAAGTTTTCAACAACTGCTGTTAGACAACAATACCAGCCAAGTAATCAAAGTATCAGAGAGTTAACCATAGATATAACTGAATGGTTTTGTACAAACTAAACTAAGACCTGGGATACCTCTACAGTAAGAATCTTGTTTGTACCTTATACTGCAAGATCTTGAAGTTAAGTGTCTTCAATTCTCATTTCCAGCAAGTCAACAATGGACTTACGCTTAGTGATCTCCCTCTGCACATGCTGAATAACATCTTATACAGGTTCTCTGATGGCTGGGACATTATTACTCTGGGTCAAGTGACCCCAACTTTGTACATGCTCAGTGAAGACAGACAATTGTGGAAAAAACTCTGTCAGTACCATTTTGCGGAAAAGCAGGTGATAAACTCTTATTATTTGCATAAATGTGGCCCTTATCTTTGCAGTATGGTATACTAAGAATGAAGTGTGAACTCGCCCTTTTTGAGATAAAAATGTGGCAGCATGCAGTAGTAGTGAAAATAGTCTCTTATTTATGGGCTTGGTTCAAACTAAAAGTTGTATTCAGCATGTCTGCAAGTTTAGGATAACTATAAGGCTCTTCTCATGGTACATTTTTGAAGTAATGCAAAAGGTGACACTTTTTTTTTTTTTTTACTACACAATCTTCCAGCAATTATGGCAGAGGATACCTTTAAGGTGTTTCTAATTTTGGTACCTAAAGCAGAATTTCTTTTACTAATCAAGGTAGGCAGACAGACTGCTCAAACTTTTAGGCTGCATGAACATTCTGGTGAAGCCAAAATTTTTTTTTTTTTTTTTTTTTTTTTTGCAAAAAATACAAAAGTAAAACAAATGCCCAAGATTTTGAAATTAAGAACAAAAAGAGAAATGGTACTTTTCTGTCACTTCCTCATAAAAAGCATTAAAGTAATCTAGGAATGCCTCCAGAACTGTCTTCATTTTCTCACAAGAATATATGCTGGGACAAAAGGTATGAAAATAGAAATTACCACTTCAGAACTGGAGAAAGAACTTTTAAAATCTAGTACATTCCAGACTAGAGGAAGTGAAAATACTCGTTCTTAAATCTGATAGGTTGAAGTGGTACCATTTGGTCAGGGACTACCAGATTAATTATTATAACAGGAAAGGTAGAAGTTAAGATAATTAACTAATGTGGAGTTGACCCAAATAAGAATTTTGGCGAGATGAAAGGCCTGAAGGAACTTCATGGAGAATATAAACAGACCAAGGCAAACTGAAAAACCCTCCTTTGGAGACAGCTCAGAAGAATACAAGGTGAAGTTACGAGGGTAAGAAGTTTAAGCTTAATGTAGCAATGGAATTGATTTTGAGGGTAGATGAGGTAAGCTCTAGTGAAGAGTAACAAAACTGGCTGGAGTGGAAGCTGTTACACTAAGGTAAAGCTGGGAAAAAGATCACTTAAGCATTACAGTAGCATTAGCTAGCCCTGCGCCTTATAAAGGACACTTCTACGTAGTGTTCCCAATGTGTTCCTAATTGTTCATGTTAAATTTCTTATCAGGCTATTAATGATTCTATGATATCTATGATTCTATTATACAAATCTAATTATTGTATTTCTTTTCCAATGCCAAATTCTGCTTTTTCTGTTTTAAAAGTGTACTACCATAATAAGCTACACAGTTAGGTGGTTTTTCCTGTCCTTTGCAGTATATTTGTTGAACCATTGAAACAACCACAAAAACATACTTGATATCTGAAGAGCACTTTTGGTAAAAAACAAGAACTCTACACAGGGAAGCTATTATGAAACAAAGTGAAGTGTAGCTGAGATCACAAAGGCAGTGCTATTCTACCCATCTAGGAGTCTTCTGAATTAAGAAAGCCCTTAATGTATTAGCATTAATCCACACTGAGTGGAACAAGAAGCCTTTTACAAATGCATACTTAATAAACCTTGGCTGTGTATTAAACTGGGGAGAAATATCCATTGTGCATCAACTAATCTTTACATGCAGATTATGTCTTCAAGAAGTGCATTAATCACTGATTATTGCTATCCTTCTATAAAGATCATGCATAAATGTCAAAAATAATCATCTATATACTTCTAAAATGAAAGGAAAAGGGTTATTTAAATCTATGGTTACTGTCTGAACAGAAGACCACTATTTGTAATACACAATCATTTTTAAATCTCATTCTTGAGTGTTTTTTGTAAAGTATGAAATTAATTACTTATGGATCTATTGTTTTTGTTATATCATTATTGACTATAATTAGAATTATTTCAAGACAGTGGAGTTGGATCAGCTGTGTATGGCCTACTCTGGGAAATGTGCACTCTCCTATTTTCAGTGTTTTGCCTTCCTTTTTTTTTTGTGGCTAGATCTCTCTCACTGCTTTTCAGAGATGTATGGTGTCAGATTATTGACTTCCAAGAATTACAGTTATAAAACTTCAGTTTAACTACTTCTCCCACCCTCCCCCCCTTCCTCTACCTGATTTGCCTAGTTCTTTAACAATTTTAAATGGAGTTATTAATTTTATGTCCAGTTCTGTAGGCATTTAATTCTATCAGAGAAGGGTCACATTGACTGGAAGCTGATGTACTTTGCTCTTCAGAAATATTACCCAATAAAGGAACAGTACGGGGACACCTTGCATTTCTGTCGACACTGTAGTATTCTGTTTTGGAAGGTAAGAGCTTTGAAATAAATAATCAGAAATAAATTCAAACAGCTAGTGATGATCATCTGAAAGGAAAAATATGTCAGGTTTCTCATGTGGAATGTGATTGAAAAAGTAATATCTAACTTTTAAATCAGTATTAAATTCCAGTGTTGTTCTTTGTCCGGCATTCTTATCTCTTGATATCTGACAACCTCAGTAGCTGGAATTGTAAGGAAAAGCACTGTGTGGAAAGAGTTGCGTTCTCTGTCTTCTTATATCTCTTTAATCTTATGCAAAGTTGTTAGAAACTTTATGAAGTTAGCCATTTTATTGACATCCCTTTTCTAACGATGGCATGACAATCAATACACCTCTAAGGAGAACTTGTTACTATAGTATTCCTGCCACATTGCTGTAAAACTGTATTTTTCTAAGTCTTGCTTCTGTCCTATATGAAGCTTGGAGGAATGTTTGAAACTTTATTTAAAATGCGTTTCATGTTGATTCTGATGTTTACCATGAAGCATATTCTGTTTTACTGGATGATTTTAATTTCTGTAGGGCATTTTCATGTTTAACTCGTGTGAATACGTAGTCCTGCTTTTATTTTGAGTTGCTCCATAATCTAGCCTTCTAGTTAGTGAAACCTCTTTAATTTTGCAGCTCAAAGACCGGACACAGTAGTGCTAAGTAGACAGCAAAGAGCACAAAAAATGTTTGACAAATCTTGGAAAATACTCATTCTAATTCATGGAAATGAGTTGCTCATGTTATCTTTCTGTAATTTTAGGAGGAGTTGCATGTCAGTGTGAGGCTTTTTTATTTTCCCTAGAAAAAACTAGGCTGTTTAACAGGATAAGCTAGCTTTTGTAAAAGTAGCATGTTACTGAATGCTGTTATCTTAAAGTTGAGTATCCTTGATATCCCAGGAGCCCTCCCTGTGACTAATGTTTTGCTAAATTAATAGTAGGAAAGCAGGTAGTCAGAATTGGTTTGTGCTGTGAAAAGCCTGGGCTTTTGATGAAGAACCGGCGTCAAGAATGATATTACTGTGGAATTAGTCTTTATCATGTTGCTCAATACATAGGGTAAAGTTTTCTCTTTGAAAGTGGAAATTTTAAAGGTAAGTACCCAGCATGCATGCCGGTGGGCATTTTTGGTATCAGGTTTGTTTGGATTGTCTGGCTTTGTGCAAATGGTTAATGCTTTCTACAGTAAATTTCTCTCAGTCTAATCTTGTTATAATTGAAAGTATAGCACTTTAATATTATAAATTACTAAAATGTGTTTGGAACTGAATGTTTAACTTTGGAGATCATGTGTGACAGTAAGAGGCAGTAACCTGTGCAGGCAGATGTCTTGTTACCTTGACTACTCCAATCTGCCACTGGAATAATAGCACTCATTTTGTGGTTTTACATTTTCAGTGTAACACAACACAGTAAGCTGTAAAAGTACTTTTTTGGGATTGAACAGTACCTACTAGATCACCATTCCAGTGCTGACTTCCTCATCCTGGAGATTTGGGCAGGTCCTAAAGTGATGGTGTAGTTATAGATTAACTGTGTGCTTCTGCACTAAAATTCTGTAGCAGGTGTTTGGGGTTGGCTGTTTTAACAAGAGCACAGTCAGCAGGTTGAGGAAAGTGATTATCCCTTTTCACTTGGCAGTCATTAGGCTGCATCTAGGATACTGCATCCAGCTGGGGGTCCCCAGTACAAAAAAGATACTGCTAACCTGGATGGAGGTCAGGTGAGGGCCAAATAATCAGGGAAACTTGAGGACTTGCCCTGTGAGGAGAGGCTGGAGAAGACCCCTTCAGAGGAAGCTGAGAGTCTGCCATGAGGACAGGCAAGCAGGGGAACAGTTTGAACATAGAGGTGGTGCAGCTTCCATCCTCAGATGTTTTCAAGACCTGAGTGGATAAAGCTCAGGGCAACCTGGTCTGATCTCGTAGCTTACCCTGCTTTGAGCAGAAGGCTGGACTAGAGTCCTCCTGAGGTGCCTCTCAAACTAATTATTCTTCAAGCCTGCATTACCATTTTCTTTCTTTAGTTCTTGGAATATAAACCTTGTCCCTGTCTTAAAATAAATGTTTGATCAGGCTGAAATAGATTGTTAAAAGAATTGATTTCTACACAACTGGCACCCTTATTGTCAGGGACACCAAGAAGTTAATCGTTGGTCTGAAAAACAGTTCCTCGGTTTACAGGGCAATATGAGTAAAGTAGTGCTAGAGTTATATGGAGGGGAAAGCAGTTCTGCTTTTTCAGGCACCTGTATTTATATCCTTTCCCAAGCTTTCTAAACAAAGATGAGAAACAAAGAGGGGAGCTCTGCTGGTTCTAGAAAAATTCTGTGCTAGGTGGAAATATTTCTTAATTGGAACTTTTATAAAGTTTTGACAGTTCATTCAAGCTTCAGTATCATACTTGTTTAGACATTAGTAAATTAAATATGTGTGAGTGGTTGACATATAATTGTATTTATAATGTACAGACTTTCAATTCTCAACTGAAGCTTTTATTCTTCATAATTCCATTGAGCATATAGCAAAAAAAAAAAAACAAAAAAAAACCACAAAACCCAAAACCAAAAAAACAAACCCACCAAACCCAAACTTTAAAAGAGAAATCATCGTTACTTTACAGAGGAAAAGTAGTGAGTGTTTGAATGTTGAAACAAATGGAAACACTGGATTTTTCAGCTAGTTTATAATATGTAAAAAATTAGTTTTGTCTTTTTATGGTACACTTTAAAAATCAGACAGCTTTTGGGGACGTTCAGAAGAACTTCAGGCAATGAGCTGAACACTTCTTGATAGTGCACTTGAGGTTTTTCTTGGGGCTTGTTTTTTTTTTTTTCCTCTCCCCTCATTCAAGAACAAAGCAAACCATTGGAGCAATTGGAGAGAAAAAAGTACTTGAGTGATTAGGGCATGAAGAAGACTAGCAGAGGTTAATTTCTTTTTGATTTAGCTGTGTTAAAGCTAATAAGGAATGTGACTGCTCTCCGTAAATTCTTCTCAGAGACAGAAGGGATGAATAAATGTGAGATTACTTAGGGAAAGGGACAACCTTGATGCAACTAAGTTGTAGAAACTTGTTGTGGGTAAACTTATGCTGAGAGTTAAAATTTTCTAAGAATTAAGCAGCGAGGTTCTGAAACAGCCGCAAAGCAAAGGCCTAGCTAGTGATGAGAAGAATTTTCATCAGTTTATGAAATTGGTAATATAATGTAATTGCTGACAACATGAAGGCTACACTTGATGACTCGGGAAATTCTTTCAGTCCTGCGTTTTGCATCCTTTTAAAGAAGGCCTTGCAAATGAAGGGACTGGTGGCTACTGAATTGAATTAGGAAACAGTTCAAGTAGGGAAATAACTTCTCACTGTTCACTATGCTATAATAATCTTGGTGTTACTTTTAACAAGTCTTTAAGAGCTTTTCAGGAAGTGGCATTTGTATTCCTGTATTTGTTTAAGACCTGTGACCACAGTAATATTAAATGCACTAAGACAGAGACTCCTAAATCCGTTGTAGGAAGTACAGTGATATAATAGAACATCTGTGTTACAGGAGGGGATGACTGTGAGAAACTCTTCATATCAAATGAGTATCTTCTAGAAGTGACTTCTTAGTAAAGGATTTGTCCATGATGAAAGTGGGAAAAAGATGTAATTTCAGTAGTGTAAAAGTAATGGCAAACTAATTTTTGACTGCTGCCTCTGCGAATGCTTTAATGTGTGCTATTTCTTCTCTTCCACTAGGCAACATTGCAATTGTGGGCAATTCTTTTATTTTCTTAGCTAACTTGGTAGCATATTTCAGTTATCCCAGACGTGGCCACAGAAGTTGAAATAGCTTTTTTTCTTTCAATATCCAGGGCTTTATGTGAATTACTGTAATTGTTTTGCGTAAGTGATATGGTTCACACTTGGTTTTAGTCGTCTTGGAGCTTGTGCTGGTTTTGGTTGTCCAGCTGCTTGTGATTTGCCAGAATAAAAGACTATTTTTCAAAATGGCACATGAACCTTAGCTTTAATAAACCTCAACTCTGCTTCTTTTACTTTACGGCTCTCCTTCCTGCTACCTTCTTCACGATCTCAAAGGACTACCACCTTGCTTTGTTACTCAAGGTATTTCCTGTGTGTCTCATCTGTTTTCACTGTTGACTGTTCTGTAATATCAAAGTGAATAACATGTTCATTTCTAATTGTTTTATATTCTTTGTTTTAATATTTTTTGTTTCTCCATGTCAGTTTAGCAGCAGGGATAATTTGTTTCTTGTTTGCGCATTAGATGAGGCAGTGGTGACTTTCCATCTCAGTTTTTCATCAGTGTTGTTTTTTACTGTTGCCATTTTCCCTGGTAATGCCATTTAAACTAGGGACCATAATTCAACTTCTAATGAATGTAGGTGCATGGTGTCAGGAAGATGAGCAAGATTTGCTAAGAAATAGGTTTATCTGCACTCAGTTAGAAACTGTTTGTGCACTCCCTGATGTAAGTAGTTCACTTACATCTGAAAACAGTAACATTAACCTCAGATAACTTTCTTTAATGCAAAGGTACTAAAATGGATTTTATTATCTTGCTGCACTTGGAATGCTGTAGTCACACATAGTTTTATGAAAGAAAAAGAAAACAAGTTGCATATGACTTGGCAGTGGAGGGTGAAGAAAAGGACTGTAGCTCCAAAGTTGTTATGGGAGCTTGTTAATTTCCTTAAAATTTGAAGAAAACAATTATATTTGCTGGTAAACACTCCTCCTGGTCTATTCTCTTGTTAATTTAAAATAATTCTGTTTTAGCTGTAAGTAGATACATTGAAAGTCAGTATTATTTGAACACTATTTATTAAATATGATTTCAAGGGAAATGCATTTTTCTTGTAAGGAGGAATACTCATAATTACAGGAAAATTATGATTCTTCTTTTCAGTCCTCTTTACTTTTTTACTGTAAAATTGCTGTTTCTGTTGGTTTTAATAACTGAAAATCCCGAGAACTCATCTTACTGAGATTTTTATTATGCTTTTAATTCCTGACTAAGCAGAGCTTTCAAAAGTATTTGTATGATGATGTGCAGAGCAAAGCAGATAGTATGTTACAAATCCTGTCTAAAATATTTAGGAATATAAATAAACACTAAAAGGGGAAAAACCCTAGATTCTTTCCCAGAATCCTAATTCTGATGGTGGTGTTTTTCTGTAAACTAGGAAAGTAATGGCATGACATTGACATGGCGATGGGGAGAGGAGATGATAGTTCACTAGCAACTGCCTTTGAGAGTGTTTTCTGCTGTGGTGTATCTTTTCCTTGCAAATGTCATCTCAACATGAAGGTGTTAGGTTTAACACTTCTGGTCTTAGTCTGATGTTTTCTCATCTGCAACTTCCCCATATAGGCAGTTCTGCCTGGGGTCTAATCTATTTGTCTGTTCTCTTCCCCACCCCCCATGTGTCGTGAATGTAACAACTGGTTCTCGGGTCATGTTAAAGCAATTATTTTAAAAAGTGGGAGGATGAGGTGATACTGCATGATATTTTCTTGTAGTAATCTAAAACTTAATGGAAAAATTCAGATAATTTATCTATAGAGTAACAATTTTCATTGGAAAAGCTGAGTAGGAGGATTTAGAATGTTTCATCCAGTTCACTTTTGTGTTGCAAAGACTTTGGAGGGGAGTGTGGCATCTTTGACAGCACTTTCCGTATGTAGGTTTCCAAGTGAGGAAAAAATATATTTCATTTATGGGTTCTTTCCTCTACTAACTGAATTGCATGTAACTGCATTTCCTATGGAAACAAAAGAAGGGAAGACTGCAGTGGTCTGTGATCTACACCATGTATTTCCTCTGGTTTTCTTGCCCCACATAGTGAATTCATCAAGGGAGAGAAACCCCTTAAAGTGGCAAGGACAGTTTCTGAGCCTTACATCATTGATCAAGGTGTTCAACCCCTCCATTGAACTGTCTGGGTCCTTCTCGTTATACCTCTAGCATTTCCTTCTTTTAGAGGGTTCTAATAATGTGCAAAACTGAACTTCTGTTTGATGAGGAATTTGAATCTTAAATAATCAGCCCAATTGTGCTGAGTTCAAGTTTCTGTAATATTAAAGAAAGCACTGCAGGCTTAGTGCGTTTGTAATGACAAATTCCATTCTGTCTTCTGTATTCCTAACTTGTCTGGGTGCTAACTTCTGTTTTAAGGCAATGCTTTCAGGTGGGGAAAAGGTAACAGTGAAAAAGGAGAAAAAGATGTTGGGGAGAAAAAAAAAATGATTTGGACTTCAAACATGCTGTTCAGGTTTTGTTTGGGAAGTGTCTGCTGCTCTGCACTTAGCAAGGAGCTCATTTCCCCCCCCAAGGTGGTAGTTGATTTCAGGTTTTCATTAAACAGGTAATTTAAGTTCAACAAAGCAATTGCCTTTTTTTTTAAATTATACTTCTCAAAAAATAATGGATAAGGAACATGAAACTTTTTCCAGAGCTCTGACTCAGGTTCTGGTAGGAAGATTTTATCTTTTTTTTTTTTTTTTCCTGACATGTGAAGCTACCCTGCATAACCACAGTCAAACTGGAAAGGGCTATTTTCTTTACAACTTAGTCTAAAACAGGAGCAAATGCCTTTTTTTTTAAATTATACTTCTCAAAAAATAATGGATAAGGAACATGAAACTTTTTCCAGAGCTCTGACTCAGGTTCTGGTAGGAAGATTTTATCTTTTTTTTTTTTTTTTCCTGACATGTGAAGCTACCCTGCATAACCACAGTCAAACTGGAAAGGGCTATTTTCTTTACAACTTAGTCTAAAACAGTTAAAGTAGAAACAGTAAAGATTGTGGCTATGGAAAGATAATTTACTCGGTGAATTCTTAAAAAAAGCAAGTTCCTATCAATTTGTTTACAGTGGAGGTAGTTGTATGTGCCTATATGTGAATTTTTGCATTTTGTTTTTAATTGGGGGTGGAGGAAGATTGTGGCTATGGAAAGATAATTTAC